AGCATTAATTGTTACTAATATTTTGTAGTTCCTTGTTAGCTTTTTTTTTTTTTGTGAGCTAAGCGTCATTTGTTAAAACAAAATGTTATCTAAAAGAAGCGCCATATTGGAATTTTCGAAAGAGATCCGAAGTTCGGCATTTCGTCGATCCCGTGTGTGTCGAATTAGGGGTCCTTTTCTGTTCGTTCCAATTACAATTGCCAAGGCGCTAAGCAGATCTCTAGCTTGCGATTTTTTATTAAGCTGGGGGTGGATACAATATGCATACCTTTTAAATTTTCTCCTTATGTGATGTTTTTTTTAAAATTATTATTTCGTTTATTTATTATCTTGCAGGCTGCTGTCGAAAGTTTGCTAAGAATTGGCTATGTTCTGCAGCAGATCGCGATACGGACGAATATTTCGTCGACTTCGTTATAAATTTTTTTTAATAGTCTTTCTCTCAGAAAATAATTTAATCTTAAATAACTTTCCTTAAAAACCTTTTTTTGCTACTAAATATTTCGTCGAAAGCGCCGCTGCATCGGAAGCACCGCATGTAGGGGAAAAAAACTTTTTTTTCGATAGCGCCTCGGCGCTTTCGACGAAAAATACGGTACCAGATTTCAAATCTGAGATTCTACTTTGGCATTTATGAATGTGTAATAACTGTTAAACTTAGATAAACAACACAAATGTTTTTGGTAGTAATCATCGTAATACCACTTTTTTAAAACTAAAAAAGTACACAATGTATAGACTAAGTGATTAAATTATTAATTTTTAAGCATGCTATGCTTCATAATAATTGAGTTTTTATATGAAACTTAGTTTATAAAAGGAATGCTTGTTTCTCTGTTTTTAGTATAAGAGAACTAATATTCTTCAATATGTTATCCCATTTTGAAATTGACTGTGCATGCATGGAAGTTTCTGTTGCATTACTGATATCTTTATGAATAAGTCCCGAGAATAGCATAACGAACCATCTGTAGATGATCCTCACTAATGGATTTACTTTCAATTTAATGTATCTAACCAAAAAAATTTTCTGTTTTGCCTTTTCATACTCATATTTTTTTTTCAAGGAAACATTTTTCATATAAGATGTTTCACATGATCAGAACAATTTATTGATAAATTAGGATGGACAGAAAAAAGATGTAAAAAGAGCACTATAGCTAGGCACAATTGTTTAAACATATTCATCAATTTTACTTGTTGAACTTGTTATGAGACTTTATGTTTGAGTTTTTAAATGACCATAGACCAATATTTATTTCATTCTCTTCAACTTTTGTTTAAAGCATATAATAATCATTACAGGAAGATATTTTTTATGCTTATAAAGTTCAAAAAGTATTGTTGACATTTCTGATAATTATGATATTTTATTTTTGTTTTCGGCATTATTTATTAATTATTAAAGCACTAAAAATTAAGAAGGCAAGAGTAGTAGTCAAGCAAATGATATAACATATTCTAAACATAAACAATGCAATGCAGTGCAGTGCACTCTACATACTATTCCTTTTGATTTCTAAATTCAAAATTATAACAAAACCTCAAAATTTTCTATTTTGATCCAACAACAAATGCATAATCTCAATTAGATGATGAGTTAAAACATGCAACTTCAAAACATAATTCCTTTAAAGTATTAAAATTGCAGAATGCTTAAAAATCAAAATTATGAGTAAGTTTTGTAACAACTTTTTTCGTTTTAACAAGAGAATTTAAAAAAGTGAAATCAAACTTTGCACAGCAAACCAAGAGACGACCTGAAAATTTAGATAATTTTCAATACATTACATTACAATACATTAAGTCAGTAACTTAGTAGCCTTTAAGTTACCTTTTTTTTACTGTTATGTAAATATTTTACTTGAATAAAAATTTAATTTAGTCATTCATTTATACATTGTTACCAAGCATTATTTTTGAATTACAAACTGTCTTTTTTAAATTGTTTAAATTTATGTATTGTTTGATTTTAAATACTCCTTTTCTCTAGGAACTAAGGTTATTGAAAAATTTTTCCTCTCTAAAGGCAATAACTGCTGCTTTGCAAAGTAACTCTATTCATAGATTAACCAAAGTTTGGCTCTGCGTTCCTAGGTAAAATTTCTTTACTTGCTTAATGTGTGAAAATAAATTGTATGCATATTTTTCCCCATAAAAACGAAGACCAATACCAAATAATTTTCATGTTTAAATTATCCTTAAAAATGACCATTTTCTCTCACTGACCTGTCCATTGAAGTCTCTTAATGTTTTCTTCTTAAGTAATAAAAACTCAAGTAAATTAGTTCCTCTTTAGTAAATTAGTTGATCATGGGGCAAGTTTCTTCTACTGCTTTACTATTCTAGACTTCTGAATGAGTTCAATACAGTGCCCGCGGCTAATAAAATCACCGGATAATAAAATCAGCCACTTTATAAAATCAAATCGGCAAGAACCGAATCGTTACAATATTAATACAAGTTAAAAACATCCTTTAATAAAATCAATGCCGCCGCTTTTTAAAATCAAAATTTTGACTACATAATAAATCAAAGGTGCAATATTTCAGCTTTTTTTGTTCTTATTTATAAATTTTTATTTTTTCGAAGTTTAAAGATTTTTTTAGAAGAAGCAACAGTTACTCACAAACCTGTGAAACAGGTGTGGTTAGCACTTTCCTGCGATATACATAGTGTAAGAGTTAAGGAAAAATGTGGGTGGTAAGCGGCGAGTTCATAGAAATCAATTTATCAATGTTAATTCCTTGACTTGAATGAAGTTTGGAGAAACCTATCTCACTCAACAGGGGGTCGAATTCTTATCTTACTTTTTATTGAATGAACCATAGAAGGGAGAGAAGTTTCTTTTGTTATCTATCTTAACAGAGAACATGAATAGATTTCCAAAAACTGTCTGTGCACATGTTCCATATTATTTAAGCTGTTTGAGTAAATTATAGTTAGAGCACATATCATTTTTAAGTTCGCTTGGTGCTAAATTTCATCAGCATGCCGAAAAAGAAGGATTTGAGTCTTAAAGATAAATTCAAAGTGTTGCAAAACTATGATACGCTTCCTAAATGTAGTCAACGTGAAGCTTCAATGGAGATGGGGCTCATAACTGTTTCGAAGAAATGATCAGCAATGAAGAAAATGAAACGGACGAGAATTTTTCACGTTACGTAGCTATTGAGGATAACTTGCAAACATCAGGAGAAAAATCTGATTCGGAAATTGTTACAGACATCTAAAATTGCAAAGTTATTTCCCATCAAGAAATGGAGGAATCAGACTCAGAAGATGAAATAAACTCATCAGTGCCATCTTCAATGGAAGTCAGAAAAGCACTTAATGTATTGCGGCAAGCTTTAGAACAAACAGGAGGAATATCGAAAACTATAAAAACTTCTATTAACTTTCAAATGATGTTGAAAAGTTAATTTTAAATACTGCAACTCAAGCAACCATTGATCGGTTTTTTGCAAAACTTTTGTAAATTTAATCTTATGTAGGGTTTTACTTTATTAAAATAATTAAATTAGTTAAAATGAAGCATTAATGTGGTCATTATTTCAGCTTTTAAATTGTGTGCATTTAGAATATATCGTAAAAATTGTTTTTTTTCTTCAAATGTTGAATCGCCTCTTAATAAAATCAGCCGCTTAATAAAATCAAAAGAGCATCAAACAAAAGTGATTTTAATAAGCGGCGGGCACTGTATTACTAAGTGCAAGTTGAAAGACTTTTACCCTTCTATTTAGATCAGTAGCTCATTGTCAGTGTTGAAAAATATTGTGCCACTGAACTGTCATAGTAAGCATACAAGTAACTTTGATTTTAACTCCAGGTCTTGCAGTTTGTTTATTTTTCCCACCTGGCCTCTGCCAACTTAATGCTGTCATAATATATTTGTCACAGTAGTAGAAGGATCCTTTGTTAATCTTTATTAATCTTTAGATGCTAAAATAGCCTTTAAAATTTCACGAGTTCGTCACATAACAGAATCTGAGTTAGTTTTATTCAACTAATTCTCTTCAAGAAGTGTAAATTGTAGTTATAAATAATTTAACAACTTTAACGAAATAAAATAAATTTATTGTTTCCCAAAGTCTCTTTTTCTATTGTAATTTTTAGTAGAATTTTGTTTTCTTCATGTTGAACTCTTAAGTGACAAAATTAGTAAAGAAAGAAACCTTAATAAAAAATTATGATACCATACTGATGTTGACTTCTTATTTTTACTGATTTGAGCCAACAGCAGTGTATATATATATATATATGTATACACGTTTTGAAGACCATGCACATGAGGGATATCTGTAAAATATTCGGAAATTAAATCTAAATGGTGTACTTGCTTTTGTTAGGATTTTGTTTAAAAGCAAATATTAAGGGTTTTTGATCTGTACAGATTTGAAATTTTCTCCCCTCTAACATGTGACTAAATTTCTTAATTTCCACCAACATTTTTTCCACCACTACATTTCTTCCACCAACTGTGATATTCAAGGCATCTACCCAAATACTCATTTCAGCCCCAAGAATGGGATGTCTCAAAAGTGTTGCCTGAGAAATAGCATTTTTAGCGGTAAGAAAAGAATTTTCAGCATTTTCCTTCGATTCAAGAGGTAAGGAGGAATCATGACCTTTGGAACGAGATTTTTTTTAAGCCCTTTTAAAAACTGAACTGAAGGAGCAAGTATATGGGCGGCTCCAAGTATAAAACATCTGTAAAATTTAAAGAATCGTAAAATTTAATGGAGTTTAGTGAGAGTTGAGGGCTTAGGAGAATGAGCTATGCATTTAACTTTATCAGAAAGGTGTTCATTCCCTCTTTCAGATAGGTTAAAATCATACTGATATTGACTTCTTATTTTTACTGAATTTAGCTAACATCAGTGTGTGTATATATATATATGTATATATATATGACTTTGATACTTTTTAAGTAAGTGCTGGTAATTAAGTTTTTTTTTATTATGTCTTCCCCTAATCTGATATTTTTTATTTGTTTTTAGAGAAAAGATAGAAAGTTTTTTGGAATTGGCTAAGATTTTCTCTGAGGAAAATAACCAAACAAATTGTAGAGAATTACTTATCAAAGTTAGTATTTGAAATATTTATCTTTTTCACTACTATTGTTTAGAGTTGAAAAATTCTTAAACTTGAAGTTTTAAGTAAGCAAACTATATTTTTAAAACAGTTTTCAGATTTTCTTTAAATTTTTATTCCATCTATTTTAAAACCTGTCCTTTTCTTGAAAGAATTATTAAAATTTGTCATAATTATTTTTTTTCCATTTACAATAGTTTTATTTAGTGAATAAGAAAATATCTTTTTATTAAACTTTTCTTTTAAAAATTAATCTATTAAACATTTTCTGCAATAGTTTAAATTTGTTTGTCAATAATATGTTAACAAAGTTCCTAATTAACCAATCATAATCAAATAAACCCCAACTTATGCATACACACAAAAATTAGTTATTGATACATTTTGCTCTCATTGTTTACATTTATTTTTTTAGGAAGGCTCTGCAAAATTTGTAAATTCAGTATGTTTTAGCAAGCTATTTTTCAAAGGATCTGATAAACTTCCCCTTGAACATGTTAGTACTTTCTTTTTCTTCTTTATTTAAAATTTGTTTTTACTAAGTGTTTGAATTGTTTGTAATGACATGTCACTGGAGTAAAAAATATAAAAATATTTTTACTGTTTCTATTTCTTTTTGAACCCATATTTATGCTTTATAAGGGATTTTGTGATATTGAATATAAATTCTAGGGAATAAGGATTGCATAACTAAGTTGTTATTAAAAAAACAGTATCGTTAAGATTTCTTTTACACTTTACTAAGAGGCCTGTTTAAAGTCTCAAAACATTGGTTAAACCCAGCATACAATGAAATGTATCATTGAAATTCAATAAATATAGATTTTATAATTGCAAAAATTATATCACTAGTTACAATGTGTTAAATATTATTATGTAAATAGATAACAGTAGGCATAAATTTTATAACTTTTTTGGATGCTGTTCCAATGTTTTTGCATTAAACCTATTACAGTCAGACCTCGATATAAGGTCATCCGCATATAAGGTCACTTTTCCAAAGTCCCGGCTCACTGAATAGAAATTCTTTGTTACAGATTATCGGATATATGGTCAAGTTTTAAAAATCATTATCGCTTATAAGGTCATTTTTATCTGAGGCTGCGAACAAAATCCTATTTAACTTCCTTACAAGGCAATTACCCCTCTTGAGTTCTAAGAAAATGTTGCAGCCAATGAACAAGCTACAATTTCTGAAACTGTTTCACAAGTTGTGGACAGTGATTACAATAACAGTGATCCTGAGACTGTAGCTGTAACCCAAGTGGAAGCCTTCAATGCAATAAATGTCATATGAAATTCTTTTACAAACCATGAGGGAGCTGAGGAACATTTCGAGAAGTTACAAAATCTAGAAAACATTGTTCAAGAAATGAAACCAAAAACGAGACAGATCTGCATAAATGATTTATTTTAAATAAGGTAAGATGTAATGTATGTATGTACACTTTGAGGAAATTTGTAAACAGCTTTATTTTAAATGAAATTTTTTTCTAAAAATCTAACATTCTTTAATTCTTTACTAATTCCATTAAAATTTATTGACTTAAATATTTAATTTATGGCTGATCGTTTTCATTTGTATTACCATTTTTAAAAAGTTATAATGTGTACTATTTACGTGCTTAGTTACGAACTGCTAATGAATGGGTTAAAAGGTCACCCCGCTTATAAGGTCACTTTTGCAATGTCCCTTAGAGTGACCTTATATCGAGGTCAGACTGTATTAAGTTTTGATAAAATTGTTTGTTCTTTTATACGTAATATCATACTCTGGTGCTAGTATGCTAACATATTTAGGACTACTCAACATTTCAGGTGTATAAAATTATGACACTATGTTTTCTTTATACATAACTTGTAAGATCATTTTTTCTTACATCTAATTGCCAATAGTTTTTATAATGTAAAAATATTTTTTTATTAGCACATCAGAAATTTTCATCAATTTGATAATTAATTATAGATGTGTACTGAACTAACAGTCTTAGCAAAAAATTTACTTAAAATTTGAATTTCAAAACTATCAGTAAATATTATATTTCATCTAAATTAAACTTGCACAAACTTCTAATTGCATATGAGAAGGAGACAAAAAAATATAAAATTTTTTACATTATCTTTTAAAAGCTTCCTTTAATATAAATGATCAAAATTTGACTTTAATCAATTACTCTTTTGAGAACGTTGCTATAACAAAAAAAAAATTTTGCTTAAAAAAAATTCCATTTCTTGTATTTGCTGATTATAGATTATGCGTTATGAAATAAATAGGATTAAGAAAAAAGTCGGTGTAATAAGTAAACATTTTAAACAGAGCTTTTTAGAAGAAAATTTTTTTTAAAAAAACAATCAGAGGCAAATTAAATAGTTTTTATTTAATTTTTATATCCTTACTTATAAATATCGACTGTATAATTTCAAACTTGTTGTTCATGTTAAATTAAAATTGTTAGTAGATGTTTAAATACTTAATTTGAATTGGATTTTTAAAAGAATTCGTCTTAACTTTGAGTTCCCAACTGCATTATGAATATAAAAATGCTTTCTATAGAACATTTTATTTGCAGCTTATTGTTATTATTGTTTGTGAAAAAATATTTTAACTATTGAAATTTTTATTTAGGCATTCACAATGCAAGGAACTATTCCATATTTGGGCACATTTTTAACTGATTTGACAATGATTGATGCTGCAATAAGTGATTACCTTCCTAATGGACTTATAAATTTTGATAAAAAGAGGAAAGAATTTGAAATTTTAGCTCAAATAAAACTTCTTCAAAGTGCTGCTAATAATTATGATATTGTTGTTGATCCAGAGTTTCAAGCTAAATTCAAGGCAATTCCTATATTTGATGAAAAAGAAAGGTACAGTTTTTAAAAAGATTCTTATTTGAATCAATTGAATTTTTATGTCTTTATCAAAAGTTTTTATTATTATACCAATTTTTTTTCAGCCATGAATTATCTTGTTTGATAGAACCGTCAGATAGCTCCATAAGTAACAAAAAGCATGTCTTTGAGAATGTTAAAAGGTAAGATTAGTCATTTTAAATCATTTATGATACGTGATTATTTTTGCTCTCTTTTTTAACTATTACAGCTGTATTTGATTGGGTAGCTAAATTATATATGTATATTTCAGGGGTGCTACGCCTGCGCCATTTGCGACAAACTGAGACAAAACGGCATAACTGCGCAATTTTACGACATTCAGCTCAGTTTCTGCAAAAGCTGCGCCATTCTGAGACAAAACGTCCAAAATTGGACAAACCTGAATTCAGTTTCAAATATTAATCCGCATCGCCGTGAGTCATTGGAGAGCATTTTGCCGTTCACGACTCCTAAGTACATCATTTAAATGTCAGAAATTCCGTTTGGTGAATCAGCTATTGGAATACATATAGAATATGCGTTTCGTGTCTACAATTGGATTATGTACAGCAGTGAGTAGCAATCAGTATCGTATGCACGTGATCTTGTAAAAAAAGAGGGTATTCTTCCCTTATACTATTGGTTATTATCTTGCTTTTTTTTTCCTTAGGAAACTGTACAGTGCAAATAGGTAATTATTCAGGGATGAAAGACTTCCGCGAAAAAGCGGAAATCCGCTTTTTTCTCCCAATTTTTAAAATTTCCGACCATGTTCCAAAAACTAAAATTCTTAGGGAGTCCAATTAGAGAAACCCAAGCCGCCGGAACGATAGTCGGATTACCGCGACTTCCGCTATAGAGTGGAAAGGAGTCTAAGCGTTTCGTTTCAACCGCCGATATTTGATTTTTTTTTGTTTGGCTGATTTTCGGAATTTTAAATATTAGGAACTGCGCTGGAATATGCTAAAATCGCGATTTTTAATCAGACGATTTTAATATCAATCATCGATTTTCGTATTTAACTGATTTAAAACTTGAGTGTTGCGATTTTTTTTTCGCTATTTAAAAATCGTTCTAGCAATTCCTATTCACTCAATTTAAAAATTCAATATCGCGATTTGTATTCTCGTGAGTTAAAAATCCAACGTCGCGATTCGTATTCACGCATTTTTAAATCCAATATTGCCATTCGTTATCACGCAGTTGTAATATCAGATCTCGTTTTTCGTATTTGTACGCTATTTAAAAATTACTCATTGCGATTCGTATTCACGTGATCTAAAAATTATGCATCGTGATTCTTATTTACTCGATTTAAAAATTCAATATCGCTATTTGTATTTTCGCTTTCTTAAAATCCAACAGCGCGATTCTTATTCACGTGATTTTAAAATTCAAAATCGTGATTCATATTCACACGATTTTAAAATCTAAAATAGTGATTCATATTCACACGATTTTGAAATCCAATATCGTGATTTGTGTTTTTAAAATCCAGCAGCGCGATTCATATTCACGTGATTTTATAATCCAAAATCGTGATTCATATTCACTCGATTTTAAAATCCAATATCGTGATTTGTATTTTCGTGTTTTTAAAATTCAACAGTGCGATTCATATTCACATGATTTTATAATCCAAAATCGCGATTCATATTCACGCGATTTTAAAATCCAACCGCATGATTCATATTCACGTGAGTTTAAAATCCGATATCGTGATTCATATTCACTTGATTTTAAAATCAAAAATCGCGATTCATGTTCACGCGATTTTAAAATCTAATATCGTGATTCATATTCACGTGATTTTGAAATACAACATCGCGATTCATATTCTCGCAATTTTAAAATCCAATATCGCGATTCATATTCACGCGATTTTAAAACCCAATATCGCAATTAATATTCACGCGATTTTAAAATCCTGTATCACGATTCTAGAAAGAAGTAGAATTAATTTTTTTCTTGAATTAGTTACTGTAAAAATGTGATATATTTTTCTACAGTTGTTGCATTTAAACAATTACTAAGTGCATTCATAATTACATTTTATGATTGTATATTTAGCTACATAAATTAACCCACTGACGGTTCTGCACGTAAAAAGTCGCATTTTAAACTGCAGTCTTCTCTGCATAGCAAAACCGGTTTTCCCATGTTAACTGATAGGGGAACTGTGTGTAGGGGAGAAACATTCTCCCAATTTTGCCCATGTCCTTAACCGCCAGTGGGTTAAAAGAACATAGTCAACTAACTGATCTTGTGAATGCAAGAAAGTACAATCTACTAGTCAATGCCAATTAACTAAAAAGTTTACTTTTATGCTTAATAAAGGATGCAAGTCATTTTAGAAAGAAAAGTATATTTATATGTGTCTTTTTAAATTGTTTATAATAGTTTATATATATTTCTGTTTTGATATAAAAATGTATATATGCTAATTTTTGGCTATTAAGTGCTCCCTAAATTTTTCTTGAAAAATTCCTTCCTAAAATATTTCAAAATTTCACTGCACCTCCTGAATTCTATCAAAGAGTGGTTTTTTTTGTTTTTTTTGGTGTTATTTACATTTTCTTAAACTCTCATTATTTAATTACTGAATTTCTCTATAGATATTTCTTTTTAGAAAGGTTACACCATTATATTTAAAAAAATAAGAAAGTTAAAATTTACTTTGTAAAATTCTGGAACAGATACTATTCATTGGCATAAATGATAAATGCAATATATATGAAAACAACAGAGTCCACAAAACAATTTTGTGGACTTTTATAATCAATCATTTTTGAAAATCCTTGCAGGTTTTTTAAAATCCTTGCAATAGTGAATGTATGTATAATTGTAGTACTCCTAGTATGCTATTAATGGTTTTATGGATCCTGAAAATTATCTTTATATTGTTATCAAACTGACTAATAATCATTTTAGCTGAGATAAACTGAGTCAAAAAATAATTTTAGCTGAGACAAACTGAGCCAAAAAGAGATTTTAACTGAGACGAAATGCAATTTCTGGTGAGACAATTTGATATTTTGTGATTTTTGAAAAAATATTTTATAAATATATATATATTTTTATATTTATTTTTGAAAAAATATTTTATAAATATATATATATATGTATATACAGAGAGAGAGAACAAGGAAAACGATATAAAGATTTCCCAAAGGAGAAGGAAAAAAATTTTAAAAAGTGTTTCATCAAAAATATTCACAAATTTACAACATTTTTAAATAAAAAAAAATTGGAAATAAAATTTGGAAAAAATATAATCTCGTCATTAGTTCACATGATTAATCAATGAAGCCAATTTACCTGATTTTTCTATTTATCCAGATTGTGCAAAAGATATAAATTTTTTCCCACCTTCAACAAAAAAGAGGTGAAAACATTTTTTCTTTTCATAGCATATGAAAGATGTAAAAAGTGGCTTCTTTTGTCCCTTGGTTACCTTGAAAACACAATGTGTTCATTTCACTTAGTTTCAGTGTAGGTAGCAAGTTATTGCTAGTTAGGGAACAGGTTTCTTTTTCCAAGATTTAGGGAGAAGAAAGGAAACACATTTAGAAAAGCTCTCAGTCTTAAAAACAAAATTCAGTACACTAAGTGTTTTCAGACATGTTTAGAAAGTCTGAAAACACTGTGTTATCATTACATCAAAAATTATGAATATTGAAAGATTAAGGAAAAGGTGAGAACAAAAGCAGCTGAGCAATTGATTATGGCACATCAATTGTGTCATATATTAAACAGTGATCCAATTTTAAGGTTTGTATCAGTTTTTCTCAAATGAAAAATTCAGCATGAAATTAAAAATGATGGAAATGCTGAGTTTTGAAGATATAGATAAGGCATTATATCTTTAGTTCTCACAAAATTATTCACAAAGACAACAGATTTCTGGCCCGATGTTGTGTGAAAAAGCTCTGCTTTTCTACAAAATTTTAAATGGAGATGCAACATTTAAAGCGAGCACCAATTGACTTAGGAACTTGTTGTTGTTGTTTCTAATCCCCAAGAGGTCCATCCCAATTAGACCAATTCCATAAGTCCAAAAATGTCCAGGAAGTCTAAAAACAGATGAGGTTTTGAAAAAACCTCGTCGATCTTAAAATCGATACAGTTTAGAATATGCTCGGGCGAAGCCTGAGCAGTCCTACATTTAGTGCAAAGTCCAAAAGTCTTTTGCCCCTGAACATACGAGAGACACCTCAAGTGACCACTTGCAAAGCGAGATAAACAAGTCTGCTGGCTTCTAGGTCCCTCAAAAAGCAAGGCACTTCCAGGTCGTTTTCTGAAATACCAACTATGCGGAGGAGGAACCCTCCAGAGGTCCATAAACATTTTTTTGCACTCTGAAAAGACCTCGTTGAAAGTGGAAGGTAGATCTGGCTGTAGAGGTTCCAAAGAAGCATCTTTAGCCAGTGAGTCCGCCATCTCGTTACCTTTGATTCCAACGTGTGATGGAATCCATTGGAAGTGTACCCCAAAGTCCGCTGAGAGCCTGAAGAGCATCCCCAAAATTGAAGCCGCAGCCCTGTCTCCAACATTCCTCCAGTTGCTAAGGTGTTGGATTGAAGATTTGCTATCCGTCAGTATCCATATATGCTTAAAGTCAGGCTCAGCAATATTCTCAACATGTCTTAGGCCATTTTCAATCGCAATAAGCTCAGATCTGAAAACTGAGCAAAATTCAGAATTTCTAATTTTGAGACTCAATGTGTACGTGGGTGTTTTAATAAAAACCCCACTACCTGAATGACCTTCGTCGCTCTTGCTGCCATCTGTGTATAGTTGTAAAGCATCTGATGGTATTTGGCTAATAGTTTCAAGAGCCAATTCAGGGTTCCCACGGTACTTGAAAAACCTTGAAAGTCCTTGAATTTGGTTGAAAAAAATCAGGGCCCCAGAAAGTCCTTGAATTCTGCCATAGGGTACTTGAAATGTACTTGATTTTTTAGAAATTAAAATACTACTAATTTTTCTTGCAAAAAAGTAATGAAAAAAAAAAATAAATTCAAAGGAAAATTATAGAAATTCTAATTATGCAATTTTTAATGCTTGAAGTGAAAAGGGGTTAAAGAAGATGCAAAACTTTTCTCTCCTAGATTTTTCAGACCAGATTGTTGTTCATATCTCTGATGTTTTGAAAGCTGAAATTTCTAGCAAATTTTAGGTTTTTTAGTCATAGTTTTGCGAATGATATATAGGGTTTAATTGATTTAGAAACATGTTTAATGTGTTGACTTCATTATTACGACAGGTTAATATTGTTGTCCTATTTGTTCTTTTAATTTATGTAAGAAGGATAATTAATTTTGTATCATTTACAATCAAATTTTTACATTCAGTTTTTACTGCTAATAAATAAAGTTTAGTCCTACAGGTTTCATTGATTATGAATAATAATCGTGATTCACATTAAACTGATTCTTGATTTATGGATCAGAAATTCACATAAAATGTTCTACGAATTGTGGTTTAGTGATCAATGAATCACATATTGAATATTACTTTAAAGTGATTTGCAAATTACTCATCAGGATTTGTATTAAGGTATTTTATAAATCATATCATGATTCACATTAAAGTTATTTATCAATTATGCCTCACGATTCTTATTCTAGTAGTTACAAATCACGCATTGCGATTCACAAAAGAGAGATTTAAGAATTACCACCCACAATTCTCATCAAAATGATTTTAGAATCACACATATCTGTCCTATATTAAGCACCTTTCGAAACACAAATTGCAATTTGTGAAAATTAGGCATATTCACAAAATTTACATTTTATGGATATATTTTAAAGAAAATAAAGCTTGGTAAGTCTTAGTTATCTGTAAAATATTGTTCTACAATAGATTTTATTATGTTCAAAATACATTACTGATATTCTTAAGTAAGAACATAGAAAATTTGATATTAAAATTGAAACAGATATGTTAAATAGATATATTTTGATAATTTATCTAATTATATACTTTTCCTGTAACCTAAAATTTGATCTAACATATTAAAAAAAGTATTTATATTTTAAAAACCGTGCAATTACACAAACTTTATCAATTATTTACTATGCTTGTTTAATGTAATATGCATTACTCATTCATTCAGTTTCATTAATTCTAATTCATTTGTCATGAAAAGTTTCACTGATGCTAGTTTTAAATGTTGGCTAGTATCCTGTGTCAATTGAAGATTGGTTTTTTTTTGGTCAATTGGAATTTTTTAAAGTAATTTGAAACAGCAATGTAACTATCAACCATTCGTATTATTAGCTGATAAATTTAATAAATAATTTTTTGTTGTTGTCAAATAAGCTTTATGATTTAAAAATATACAATTTCTGCTTCTACGTAATTGTAAAATCTGGTTGACATGTACATTAGCGTATAACAATAATATCAAATAAGTCCTTGAAAAATTTGATTTTAGGTCCTTGAAAAGTCCTTGAATTTTTTTTAAAAGATTGAGTGGGAACCCTGCATTTGTCTCATAAATTCTGGGTTGTCTTTACTTTTATGGGCCGGGTACAACAGCTCCGTATGGAAATGGATACCAGAAAAATCAGTAACAGGGCTAAAACATGACCTCAAGAAATGAGGCTCAATTCGGCAGGGATATTGCAAGTCTACAAGATGAATTGAAACAGCCAAAGAGAAGGGAATGTTTCTCTTCAGTCTATGATTATTTTTCCAATTTTTGAGATAGTAAGAGGTTTTGTTCTGGTCACCAAAACTGATGAGCTTATTGTAGTATTACTTAGGAACTTTAAATTGCTTAGTAAAATTAGGGAAATTGAAGTCCATATGCTCCAATTGAAAGTGCAGAAAAATTTATTTCATAATTTAAAAATTTGATGTTAAAGATGTGAAAAGAAGTTACTTTGTCCTTATTTCTCAGACAAGCTGGTATACATTAATCTAAAGCTCCCTGGGCTTCAAACCACCACTGGGATTGAATCCAAGTTCTTCACAATAGTAGTTTTATGCTTCAACCACTCAGCTATCATGACTTCATTTAAATATTTACTGCACTTAAATTTAATTTAATTGCTTTATTTATTTATTAAATTTTATGATGTCTAAAATTTTAGGTTTTAGATAGTAGCTTGAGATAAACCTGTTCCTATCTACTTTGAATTTTTGGGACTTTAGGTTGCATTGGAATAAATAAGATCTATTAAGTATGTCTTGGGGTTTTCATTGCAAATCTTAAAGAAATGTGATCATAAAAGTATTATTTAAACCAATGGCAAAGTTTAAATATTCTTTGTCATGGCAAGATAAATATTATTAAATGACAACAAATACATTTTCATTTATTTTGTTTTATATTTTTCTCTTTTTCTTTCTTTGAAAGTAGTATAAACTTTTGTACTTGTAGAAAAGTTTAAAAAGGACATATAAATAAAAAAGGGTAGCTTAAAACTTCCTAAAAATCTAATAGTTTAAAATACTACCAATAGTTTTTTTCTGAAGCTTTCACAATTTTAAAAAATAGCTTTAAAAGTTTGAAAAATTGAAAAAACTACTTACAGTGTTTACAGCATCCTATCAAATATAAAATGGTAGCTAATTCACTTTTGCTAACAAGCACATGTTTTACTTTAATTTTCAGCTATAAATTAGAGTTTGAGCATTCACTTAAGACAAAAAAAAATAATAACGTTTGCACCAGATGAATGAAATATAATGACAGAAATTGTTGAAATATTCTCTTATTTATAGTTTTTAATCTCATCTGAAATCAGATGAAAAATTACATAATTCTCTTACAACTTTCTTATTTTTAATAGGACTCCGGGATCATTGTACTTGTTACTGTTCACAAAAAAATTTTGACATATAATGTAAATTATGATTTATAAGTAAAATAAGATGAATGAAAAATCCATGCAGTGGTGAACCCTTTATTGTATTAAAACTCTTCTTTAGTGCTTTATTGTATTAAAACTCTTCAATGTGTTAGCCTTCTTCATTTAAAATATGAGTTTTGTGAAACGAAAAACATTATTGATCTAATTTATTTCCATTACTGTTTTCTCTTATGTTTTTATATCAAAATTTTGCTGTATTAAATATATTCTATGAACAATCAGTTAAATGGACAAAAACAATTTTATTGTGTTAAAACCTCTCTCTTTGTTGGCATTTTCTTAGTAACTTTATCTAAATGCAAGAAATAAAAATTATTATCAGCAAATTTAAAAGGAAAAGAAAGACTATAGCATACAAATTTGTCTGACAGACAAAGTGTCATAAGGTTATTAAGGGAAATTAAAGCATCAGAGATAAAATATAGAACAGAAGACAAAAATTAGTTAAATATTGTTTTTTGCTGTAGCTTTGCATAAATGATGGATCTTGTGGTTCAATACTAGATAAAATGCATAATGGTTAATTCACCATCAGATAATTAAAAGTTTATTTCATTTTACTTTTTAGCAATATGGTTATGACAAAACCACACAAAAATGAATATAGCAATAAAGAGTCTAAACTTTTCATTGGTATCTAGATTAAAGTATTAGGATCTTACCTTCTAGTTTATACATACTCCTCATGTTTCAATGATCAAAAATCCACAGTTTTCTCTTTCATGGAATATATAGATAAGCATTTTCTATTCATCTCCATATTTATTTTAATCTTATATGTCTGAAACTTTAATTAGTTTTAATGGCTAGGTTTTCTTTATTTAGCTCAATGTTTAAATGGACACATCATAAAAGTGGTTCTTCACCTGCCAGTACATCCAGTGGTATTTTATGTGATAAAAGCTCTGCTGATGCAAATGTGATAAAAGAAAATTATATGAAAGTAAATACACCTTTTTTGAGGCTATACTTATTTAACAATCATAACAATATTTTAGCACTCTTTACTCACAAAATCTACAAAATACTTTAGTTACTATTGTTCAATAGCAATTGTCACATTTTTAGTATTTTGAAATATAAATTTTCATCTAAATATTTCTTTACTTTTAGGGGAGTTCATTCTTTAGGTTCAAAAATTTACTGTCAATATCATGTTTTTTGACTTTATATTGCTTAATAAATGTAATGCATGCAATTAAGCAAATTAACTGTTAAACTTTCTCATGAGTACAATTCTTTTTCTTATTTTAAAGATAGCTATCTTGAGAGGGGAAATTATTCTTGTCCTGAAATGTATATAGATTTCATTAAAACAGCTCATTTTGAAATTTATCAACTTTGATATCTAAAACTCTATTTGATATAAATTAAATTGTTGTATAAATAACATTTTCAAAAGATTATTTCATTTTAGACCATCTTAAACTCTGAAATCTTCTAGTTTTCAACAGGTCCCATATTTTGCTTACTTACTCAAAAATTCAGTTCAATTGTACTCTTTTTTTTTCCATTTATCAATTACATTTGGTTAGAGTATTATAAACTGATAGCATTCTACAAAAAATAAATTTTATTTTACAATAAGTATAACTGATTAACATTGGGTTTAAATGAAATTCTACTTCAATTGCCTATCTAGGAAACGTTTTATTTATTTTGAGACTCACATTTTGTCATATAATGTGTATCTAAAAGAATAGTAGATTCAAGCACTGACAGCAGATCGAAACATAAATCTCCATTTAGTGTTTGTGTGACATACCAAAGTTATCTTGAATTTTTTTAATAACTATGTTGTTATAATAAAAAATTTAATGTCTACATACTCAAAAATTATTTGTTTCCATTGCAATCTATTTTTGATAAATAGTCTGAATATCTGGAACAGATGTAATTGCACTCATACTCCATTATAAACACCCTGCAGACCCATTAATTAGTTCACTTTAAACAATTGTTACAAATTCATTAAAAAATATATTTTAGCATGTGACAGTGGTATAGATGGAAGTAGTAGTTGTGATAGTACTTAATTTGCTTTAAGATCACGAACTAATTGACTAAGCAATAACTCAAATATTTAAAAAAATAGTTACTTAATAACTTAAACTTGATTTTATTTTTACATTCTATGTAAGAAATTAGTGATTTTTGATAGAATATAATTCAATGTAAGTAAAATTCATCATATTTTGTCATTAACAGTTAGTAAAGAATCAAGTATTTTCTGGATCACACTTTTTGTGGTAAAATGTCCATGATATTCATTGCTAATTTCAATTGAGAATTAGCAGTAAATGATAGGTGTCAAAGATCAGGCAAAAAAGGAGGTGTCAAAATTTCTCATTCTTCTTCAATGTGGTCTTGTAAGTCTTCATCAGCATTACACTTTTGTTTAACTTGAGGTATAATATTATCCTCTATAGGGTACCAGATATGCACACTTCATCATCGCAAGATTCAAAGTGCTCAGTTATATCCCTTGGAAAAATATTCGAAACTTATTTTTCTAGCCGCATGGTATTGGTATGTTTTCTTAGTCATCTTTGTCTACAACAGTTGTCTTTTCTTTCCAACAACACACCTTTAGAAAGACATACATGCCAAAAACAATTGCAAATTGTTGCTTATGTCCCCTGTCTCGACCAAAACTATTGCTTCCCAAAGCAGGATGTTGTATTCCCTCTTATTCTCTTCATAGGCTTCTTTAGCTGTTTCCTATACTCGTACTTCAGGTTACAAATAATGCCCTGGACATTCAGGTTACAAATAATGCCCGGATTACAAGACAGAAATTGTATTTGGAGTAAAAAAAATCTAGTTAATGCACTTTAGATTTTATAAGTAGGAATAAGCTGTGCCAGTGTTGAAAAGGAGGTCAATTTTATTTTTTTATTAGAACGAATCATAGTCACATTTTCGAATTTCTCCAAAAGCATTTGTAGTATCCATGTTTTTATTAGCTTTGTAGTAGTAGATAGGGCAGTGTTTTAACATTTTAAAAACTTCTCCATTTTTGGGATTTACCTCAAACACTATCGGTTTTCTGAGCCATTCATATTTGGTCATATAAGAACATTTATTTTCAATTTGAAGAGCTCATGTTGGGCCATTTTTCTCCTTTAAATTTTAACGTTTGATTGTGAGTCATTTTGTATATCAGTCTAGCTTTGTCAACATTAAAAATATCTCTCCCTGCGTAATCATAAATTACATCCAAGTCACCCTTGAGCTTTCCATTTTTCTACATCTATTGCACAAAATACTTGCTACTTCACCAACAATCTTTCCACTAGAAACATTGTTCTATTTTTTAAATTATCCAATGAAGCACGCAAAACTTTTCTTCTTAATCTTTCAACAAACTTGTTCACTTTAATTTGAAGTGAGTGTCTGGTCACAAGAGGATTTCTATTTTGCTGAATAATTAACTATTTTAACGAAACTTCTTCCCAGTTTCTACTTTCAGCATAACATATTTTTTTTTTAAGAATCCACATTATTTTGTGTCTAGAAAAAGTTACACTTCAATATTTGAAATTGTGGATTTTAACAACAAAAATATTTTATGCAGTGCCAATTGATAGGTGCCATCTTCATTATGCTTGATAGTTTTAGCCTTATTCTCTATCAAAACTCTTTTCTTTTTTTTACTGCATTTGAAAATTTCTCAAATTGATCATAAGAATTCAAAGAAAGCCTCAGTTAAATGAGAGAAATTATTGGACTGCCAAACTTTCAAGGAGTTATTTGTAGAGAATAAAGGCTTGTAGAGATTGGTAGATTCCTGAAATTATGCAGGATTTACAAGAAGTTATAGAGATGCAAAGATATTAGGGGGAAAGATGAAGAGAAATTGGTTCCTGCAACCAGCTAGAATTGAAAAGAAATGTGCTACTTTAGAACTTTATCATTCTAGTTTTAGGTGATGAGCATCAGAGTGAAATTTGATTCAATGTAAAAAAATGCCGTCATCTGCAATCACAACTCATGTAAGTTTAAAGTAGGAAAAATCTGTTGAAACTAAATTTGAGTCTAATGTAAACAGACTATCGAATTCTCTGCTGTATAAGTGTGTGAAACATCATTAGTTAAATGGGAGTTCAGACAAGACCACTAAAAAGTTAACTACAACTGAGTATTCACTATATCTTGGACTCATCATAGCTAGACTATTGAATTAGGTGAATCTATTTGTTTATGAGAATTGTACAGATTAAGACTTGAAACTTAATATTAATTACAAGCATTTAATCTGAAAATTTTTATAAGTTGCTATGGCATATTGTACTATATAGAAACGGTGAATAGTTCAATTAAAATTTATCAAGGTGTTTCAAAACAAGCACAGATCTTTTTTGAATAACTTCTAATGTCTTGCTAGCCATAGATTATTTGAAATTCAGTTTCAAATTATTTATCTCAAAAATGAAATCCTCACACTCAGAAAGTGTAGTTAAAGACTTTCTTATGTATGGTAGATAAAGTATGGCAGAAGTGTTAAAACTAAAGCACAGTCATTAAACTAGTCTCTCGACGTACTTGCATTTTATTATAAAATTTTTTAGGATTCTTTCAATGTTTTTGATAGATATTTGTGTACTAATAAATGTTAAATTTTAGGAATCACAGTTATTTTCTAAAATAATAATGACTTTTCTAAGAATAATCAAAGAATCTAATCCTTTAGAATATAGTCTCAATATTTGCAAATAAGTATTTTGAAATATTCATTATTGTTTTAAAATAAAATTAATAGTATTTTGTTTTGTAATTTTAACAGGTTTCTAAATCTTGTTCAAATTTATCAGTATCCCATCATCACTCTCATTCCCTATCAAATGGAAGCAGTTCACCTTTTCAAGAATTTTACATAATCAAAATATCATTGGAACAGAAAAACTGTGATAATGACGGAGTAAATATGTACAAAAGTATAATGGTAAGCATGAGTGTTTTTAAAACATTTCTTTCTTTTTTTTAGTTTCTAAAAAAGTCATTTTAATTTATTTTTTAAAGAAACAATATTATTTATTTATTATTCATCAACTAGGTTATCAATAGCAGCAAATTTTACTGTTTTTCCATTAAAGGATAAATAATTTGATTAATATTTGTGTAGATAAATCTTATAGACGAAATATTTAAATATTTTGACAAAATTTATTATTTATTTAAACAATATTTAATTTGCTTAAAAGTTAAAACAAAATTAATTTGTTTTATTGATTAATGCTGTATTTTTTTTAATAGTCATATTTAATGTTGACCTTTATTATTAAAGTCCTTTATTATAAACTTGACTTGAACTTAGATTTTATAAATCTTAGTTTTATATTTTATAAAAGTACTTATTACAGATAATAAAGTATTTAACTAGTTTCATGAAAAAATTCAATTATAAACTTTTTGAAAAATTTAATTGGTAAATATTATTCTTACATTAAATATAAAACAAATACTTGCTGAACTTAAATTAAATTTCTATAGTATTAAAATAAGCTTTCATAAGACCATGAAAAATATGTTATGACATATATTTGTGATTTGCTGACCAAGTGGCCGAGTGGTTAGCGAGTCCGACTGCTGAGCCATTGGCCGCGGGTTCGAATCCTGCTCAGGGCATGGATGTTTCTTTCTCTCTCTGTGTTCTATATCCTTTCTCCTTTATGTGAATGTGACCCTCCCTATAAACGGGTTTGTGGTTGTGAGACATGGGCGATGCTGCTCCACCGCCGTGTCTTCGCCGCAGGTGCCCACTGGGTAACGAGAAGAAAGTAGCGGTTCTGGCATTTCTGTGACCAATGGGACAAACTCCAAGTGCCTGTCATTAAAAAATAATAATAATAATAATATTTTTCTGTCATTTAATATTACTGTATATATTTTGTTTTTATGAACAATAATCTAAGGGAACAATACTAATAAAAAAACTAAAAACTACATGTAAAGTTTCCACTTGTGACTAAAAGGCCACTATTTGCTTCTTCTTTTGACATTGGGTGACTATGGGGCCTTTTTTTTAGCAAAAAATGTCTAAAGGCAATTATTTTTTAAAAAAATGTTGACTGCTTGCAAATGTAGGCTAATATTTCTTTATTTATTGTTGTATATGTTATGATAATCTATAACTTATTTGTTTATTATTGGCACTTTTCCTTTTTTTCTAATTTGTAAGGAAAAGGAATCCGTTTTTTATTATTTTATTCACAAAACAGTGCAAATAAAGTAAATTGAAGTACAACAGTGAGAAGGGTCAAGAAAAAGTATATGTTTCTCGTTAGATTTTTCGCAGTATGATTGGTCTCCGCTTGGCAGATTTTTTGTTACTTTGATAACCTGCAATGATGGAAATGTATCATAGTTGATGAGAGGCCATAATCATGCAGTGGAACTTATAATAATCACACACAAACAATATGTTTATTGGTGGATGACAGGAGACAGAATGAAAGAACTACATTTACATGACAAAGGAACAAAGAATAAGGGTAACAACATACATAGAAGAGGACTTTCTAGCTTTGGCAATTTATCGTCCATTTTTGCGAATATGCCTCGCATATGCCCCCATTCGCAAAACTCTCAAAAATGTAATCAGCAAATTTTAAAAGATTAGATTTCAGTAGTACTTTTGTTAACATGTCAGCCGCATTAAGTTTAGAAGATACATAGGTAACAACTTATCCTTTTTTAATGAAATCTCAAATATAAAAATATCTAGAATCAATAAACTTTGTTCTATTATTTGAAATTACACTTTTAGAAAAAGCTATGGCTGCTTGGTTATCAGTAAAGATTGTGGGGATGACATTTGAGAATTTTAAAAAATTACATTCATGCAGTATTTTTGATAAGTAATGAACTTCAATGGCTGTCATGTCAAGTGCTATCTTGGACCAATTTAAGTTTCATGTTGATGGCACCAGTATGTGTAATTATTATGTTTTGAAAAAACCTTGTTTATTGTTCTGCAAGATATTACTGTGTGTTCTTATAGAACAGGCTTAGAGCACTAACTTTTTATAGAACACTGACTTAGAGAAAGCAAAAAGAATTAAAGCATTTTATAAAACTTAAGGATATTGTGGATATTTCTTTAGAAATCATGTTTTCAGATTATGCAGTAGAAATTATGCAAAAGAAAATAAATTTTTAAACCTCTTAAAATGAAAATATTAAACATAATATAATGTATTGTTTCTCATGTTTTAAGAATTGCTTCATTATTTATTTCCCATATTTCAAGCCATGTTTTCAGATTAAACAGTAAAAATCATGCAAAAGAAAATAAATTTGTAAACCCTTCAGAACAAAAACTTTAAATATGGTATAATGCATTGTATTTCATCCTATATAATATTAGATTTCATTAATATTGTAACAAATTTGCTATTTTAGTCCATTTCTTTGTTAGAAAAAATACATTTCAATGTTTAAGTTTTATATAAATCTACTTTCTCTTTTTAGCTCAATAATAGTGACCGAACTCGCACTGTGATAACAAATGCTATGCTAAAACATGGGATTGAGGGCAATCCAGATGATTATATTCTTGTTCAGCTAGTTCCCGGTGGTGGTGAGTCATTTTAATATTATTCGTGTTGCATTTCTAAACATATTTTTAGTTAGATCTTAACATCTTATTCACAAATTATCATCGAAAAGAATAAAGCATAAATAAAAGACATAGTTTTGGCCCAAAATTGTGTTTTATTCAGCTCCCTAGTACTAAATACAAAAAACAGTTAAGTTACTTACCTAATCTATGTTAAGTTATCCATAAAGCAAATATTGTAAAATACCAAACAAGCCCTCATATGCAATTAAGCCCCCCACCCATTGTTTCATTGAAATATTGACCAGCAACTAAAACTGAATAAATCCTTCATCCACCTCCCACATCCTGAGCTAGACAATAAAGACGCATGCCATGCATGTATACACCCACAGAAAGTCTTAAATTTTGTGCTTACTTTTTTAAAATTAAAAAGAGTGCCCACATGATTTTTTTAAAAAAAGTTTATGTTATTCAAATTTGAGTGATGTAAAAAACCAAACACTGTGATTCGTACTCATGCGATTTAAAAATACAGTATCATGATTTGTATTCACTCGATTTAAAAATTACATATTATGATTCAAAAAATTTAATGACGGGATTCATATTCATCCATCTTTAAAATTCAATGTCGCACTTCAAGCAATTTTGAAATAATTCAATTCACATTCAGGCAATTTTGAAATCAAACATTGCAATTTATGTTCACGCGATTTTAAAATCGAGCATCGCCATTCGTGTTCACATGATTTTAAAATTAAATATCGTGATTCGTATTAAGGTGATTTTAAAATTAAACATTTCGATTTGTTTTCACACAATTTTAAAATCAAGCATCGCGATTTGTATTTTTGCTATTTTTAAATCAAACTTACAATATGTCTTCATACAATTTCAGACGCATCATTTGAAAGCTTTTCGGAATCCGATTAAAATATTTTATAAATAAATACATTTAAATTAAATTTTTTTTTAATGTTTTTTCTTTATAAAAGAATTTTTACGTTCGCACTTATTGCCTTTAATGGTGCAATTATAATAATTTGAGAAAGATAAGTGAAGGTGAAATGTAATTTATTTAAAATACAATTTATTTCTTTTAACTATCTAATTTTCCTTTCATTTGTTATATACTTAATTAAATCGAGTAACATTTCCGGTTTATTAAAACTTTTGATTTTCTTTAAAAAAATTGAATTTTTCCCTTGCTACGTTTTACCTTCCCTAATTGCCCTTGCCGCGATTTTCATTAAAATTTTGGGGTTTAACTGGTATCAAAAGTACAGTAATCAATTTATAGTATGTAAGTTTTATTTTCTACAAAACAGCTTTCAAGCATTAGAGTAGTATAGGACAGTACATTAAACATAAAAAAAAAAATTTCTGTAACTTTAACATATCGACAAAACATAGAAGAATAAACTAAATGCATTACATTAATCACAAAAAAAATAAACTCAATTATTTTTATCTATTTCACACATCACTTCCCGTTGAGGTACTCACATCAGAACTACTGCCCTAGGCATATATGTTGAGCATTAGAAACTTACAAAACAGAAAAATCAGAAAATTAGTCTAGTTTAGGCAATTAGTTTGTTACCTTTACCCCATCATCAGATGAAGTAAATGACCAGCAGATGAGGTTTACAAAAACAGGGAGTTAATACACAAGGCGAGTGAGGGGAAGCCTCTTAACTGTCCTAGTTTAAATTTTGTATTTGCTCATAAATTAAGTGATCACCAAAGCAAGGAAAGAGGTTCAACCATCTCTTTTATGTAACAAGCTCTGCTTTGTGTATGTTTGAGAAAGGGAAAACCTCTTAGTACGCTACACAACTGTTTTTTGTTTATATTCAGGATGAAAAAGATGAGATCTTTATGAAGTAAATATTTACGTTTTCTGTCTTTTAACTCAGGTAACTTAGCTACGTCACTAAATGCAAATTTCACTAGTTGTTCATTCCAAACCATATAAACTTGTTACAAGAATTTTCAGAAATCAAAAATGAATTTCTGGGTTGAGAATAAATAAGATAAAAACTAATAATTAAGTAAATTTTGCTTATCAAATTAATAAGAGAAATTTAATCAAATTAAATAAAATGTAGAATAAACAATTAATTAAATATGCAAACTACTATCTGTCACAATAGTCATCACAAAACTTATAATATAGAATAATTTAAAAATGTAAATTAAGACAATTTTTATAGCCAAATTACAAAAAAACTGAGAACATGAAAATATACCGCATTTGCTCTTATTTCTGCAACCATTTGAACTGCTTCCTTCCATGCTTGACCTGGTTGTAAAAACAACTTTTTTTTCTCCTAAATTGCAATATAAGTTGGATAATCGACTTATACATCAATAACACATATAAACATGAAGATTTGTTTCCAAAATCTGACTCTTGACAAAAAAAGCTAACCTAATGTTAAAAATTAAAATAAACGCTATTATTACACAATCAAAACTTTTATGTTACAAACAATTTTAACAACTTACTTTTACATATCATCATAAGGGCTGCTTTCTACAAGAGATTGAAATTCATCTTGTTTCCCTTAGCCCCCCAAAATATCGTTTTACTACCGTCAAATTAATTAGAAATTCCAAAATCTGAAAATATTTAACTGTTATTTTTGCATTAACATTTTTCCATGCCGTAATGCAAACTAATTTGAATTCTATAAATTAACCAAACATGAAGAATTCATAAGAATCAGAACATTACAAGATCCAACATTTTTATTTGAGAGTGAATGTGCAAAAATTGTAAATAGGTTCTCATTATTTAATCTTTGAATTACATTTTGTAATTAAACTTGGTCAAAAAAATATATGAGTTTTAAATTATTGCAAATTAATATTTTGCTTATCTTTGGATTTTAGAGCTTTGTATTTGGTTAGAAATTTTTTTAAAATAAATGTAAATTCAGGGGTTGACTTATATACCAAATACACACAAAATCCTTGATTTTGATATTAAAACTGAGACCTGTCAATTTTTACACTGAAAAATATGGTGTTTATTTAGTGTAAAAATAATGCATGATTTGATTGAAAATCCCATAAATGTGCATCACTTGGGGGAAGAAAGAAACATCACTCGGGGGAAGAAAGAAACATCACTCAATTATGATATCAAGTTTACTGGGGGGCAGAGTATGATAGAGTGTGAAAAGTGATTAATGCCATGGTTCATGTGAATTTTACAATAGGATGTCTGAAAATCAATAAGGAGTTTGCAAGACCTCAGTGCTCATGCCATGTATTATTTATTATAAAGGCATCCTTTCATAAAAACTTTTTTTCTGTTGAGATTTTGTAAATTTCAAACAGACCATGGTTCCACTTAGTCCTGTTTAACAAAATTTTACTGTGTTGTGTGTGTAAAACACCCAAAAATTTTATTCTAAAGTAGTTTTTCTTTTCTTTTCAGAAATTGTTTTTCCTCATTCTGCAAATGTTTTTTATGCTGTAAATAGAAGCCATGAACTGAAATTTATTTTAAGGGCTCGATGTAAATCTAAAGATATTAGAGGGAAAAAAAGAATACCACTTTGAGTAGCATTTATACTAAGGAATTGTTTTTTAAAATATTCCACTTTTACATTTCAATTTTATTATTTCATTCTCATTTTTTTTTATATAAATGCTCATAAAAATTGCTCATTTTGTGTATTTTGTAAATAAATGTTTGTATAAATTTGTGTAGTTACTTTGTTGTACTATTTTAGAAAATAGCATGATAGAAAATGTTACATTTCTTTTTTTATCATTTGAACTAGAGAAAACCAATAGGCATAGCATCTTTTATTTTTACTTCATTTTATTTTATTTTTAACGCTGTAAGTATAATTTTTTTCATTGTTAAGTCTTATAATTAAATTTCTTAATGATGTGCAAATATCATACTTAATGGTATAAGCTAAGAATCACTTTTTTTAAAAGTAACACATTGATTTAAAAGCCCCAAGACTTACTCACAAATGACGCCATGAAAGACATATCTATATGGTGTTAGATACTACTGATTTTCAAAAGATTCCTGTTATCATAGAGTTTATTGAAAAATCAAGGTTTTGAGTTGAAATTAAAAATTGGCAGAAGAATAATGTATCACCAAATTTGTATATTGATTAAATTCTTTTTTATGAACAAAAATACCATTCAAACTTGACAGTGGCCTGAAAAGTGTAATAAGGAATTTTTTCCATATAAAGCCACTAAAATCATGCATATGTTTATTTTATCATAATACAGACTTTCTAATGATACCTTTCAAAGTTTCAAGACATTTAAATTTATTTGGCAATAAATTTAATAGTTTAAATATGAAATTTCGAGTTGAAATAGGAAGTGGAGGATGGATAAAGCTAAATTTTATTTGTTGATTAAAGCCTTTTTAATTGACCAAAAGACTTTTTAGTACCATTCAAGCTTAGTGATGGCTTGAAAAGTGTTATAAGATTTTTGTTCCATGTGAAGCATCTATTTGTCAGCGATTTGTTGAGTTTAAACAGAGTCATACAGGCACCTAAATAACTGAAGGATTGATACCTCTAAAATGTGATAATTGCAATCAGAATTTTTTTTTTTTTTTTTTTTTAAGAAATATCCCTCCAAATTGTATTTAGGGNTTTTTTTTTTTAAGAAATATCCCTCCAAATTGTATTTAGGGAACCATAAAGTGAAATTGTAGGAGATGTCTTGCACCTTAAAAATATTGCTAGGTAGTGTATCAGAGCTCATCTCTAAACCTCAAAATCGTCCAAAATTATATTTAAGCTGACACAACTTAATGGTAGATGATCTTGTGATTATGGTTATTAATGCTGACAATTTGTCTCCATTAAAATGAAGCTTAGAAAGAATACTTGAGATATTTTCTGGTGGAGACAAGATATGAGTTGTAACTCTAAAAACTGCTGATAGAATAATTGAAGGACCAATAGTTGATTAACTTTAAATTTTAGTTTTTACATTATTTTGTTGAACTTGAAATTTCTAACTAAAATGAATATATAGTACTATATTGGGTTAACTTTTGCACTTAGCAAAGTTTGAAATAAAAAAAGTTCTTACAATTTTATTATATTAAGAAATGTTTTGATCCTAAAGATAACATATGAAAAGTTCATATGAATATGGATCTTTGTTATACTTCCCAATAACTATTAATTATTGGGTGTTTAAGTATTACTGATCTTGATTTGTATTTTTAGAATTCTTGTGAAAAAAAGGAGCAAAAAGCATTCATAATTAGGAGTTGCAAGGAATAAAAAATCTGTCAAATCTCTAAAGATGGTGGGATTTATGGCACCCAACTAGCTTTGTTGCTTGATGAATGGGTTAGTAATGATATTAGTTACGCCTTCCTCAGTATTAACGTTTTTTCTTGTCTTAAATATTAATATGCAATCTTTATTGTGTATAGTGGGCAGAAAAAAAATAAATCACCGTGAATAATTTTTGACTTAATAATCAGGGGGTGACCACAATTATGCTAGTAATTAGAGCAGACGATATATTAAGTTACAAAATCAAGCACACACAAAAACATACTTTCTCCGAATAAACATATATTTTTTCGAGGATTTAGATTTCTGACCTTCAAAATATAGGGGATAGCTGCTATGTTGGGAATATGGTCCAATATTTCTGTCAGGAGAGTGGTTTCTCCTTAATTTTACTTTTTGTCTATTTTGTGATGTCTGGGGAATTTTTTTAGCGAATCAAAAACATTTTTGCTCGCAATTGTAAAATTTCTTTATAAAGATAGCTAATTCCATAAAAAATTTGAATAATTATTTTCAATTTTTTATTATCTTTCTGAATAGCAGTCAAAAATTTTGAATTGTCAAATAAACAAGTTTTTACATCATTTTAAAAAATTTAATTTATAGGGCAATGTTCAAAATTTAAGCGAAATTGGACAAATAGCCAAATTTTATACATACAGTTTCTTAAAATTCAATTTCTAAATTCGACACAGATGAAGTTCTGGTTACTTTAAATTTGTGGCTTTTGGTATGTTTTAAAAGTATTCCTTCTGTTATATTTTTTGAAACTCAGAATAAATTATCTTAACTTTTCTTCTTATTTTTTTTAATGAAATTTGAAGCATTGTTCTTAAAAAATCCTTTATATTAAAAGAATATGCGAGAAAATGCAAAGTAAATTGCATATAGCATACTAAAAACAATTTTTGAAAGAGATAAATTGATACAAAGTAATTCTTATTTATTTCATTGTTATAATGCATCACTATTTCAACTAATGTCCTACATTATCACCAGCCTATAAGTCAAACCACTAATTTTTGCAAAATTATTAGGATCTTAAGTCAACTTATACACTGTGACATCTAAATAAATTTTTAAAAATTCATTTGTGACATCTAAATAAATTTTTAAGAATTCATTCTTTGACAGCAGTAATTAAAGACAAATTTTAACATATTTTTATTAAAAATATGTTATTTGCTAGCAGAACTGCTGTAAAATATAAAACATATATTTTACATTTAAATTTTAAAAATTACCATCTAAAATGTTTTTTTTTCTTAATTTGGCAGGGAGATAAGGTATACACATTAATAACTAGTAAATTATCATTGTTAAATACTTTAAATAAATTAAAGAATTTGCATTTCTTATAACAAAAGAGTTTCTACAATTCTTGATCTATAATAGAATATCCTATAGAAATTTTTAAAAAATTTTTTAAACAAGCCCATTATATTTTATATTTATATGTAGTTGTGAAATTCCACCTCATTCCTCTTGAAAGATGAAAAAAGAGGAATAAGGTGGAATTTCACAACTACTTTAGAAGACCTTGATTTTGCTGATGACATCGTACTTATTTCATCCAAATGTACAGACCTTCAGCTTAAAACAGACAAATTCAACAAATATTCAAATAGTGTAGGTTTATTCATAAACAAGGAAGAAAACTAAAGTAATGAGAATAAATCAAAAGAAAAATGACAAAATTAAAATCGAAAATCACGAAATAGATGACATAGAGTCATTTATCTATTTAGGTTCTATTGTAGATAAAAAAGGTGGAAGTAGTGAAGATATTAGACAGAGAATAATCAAAGCAAGAACATGTTTTAAGGGATTACATAAATTTTGGAGAGAGTCAAATATTGAAATAAAGACAAAAATAGTTGTTTACAAAGCTATTGTTAGAGCAGTACTATTACGTGGCGCAGAAACCTGGAAACAGACTAAGATCGAAATACAAAATTAGAAACCTTTCAAAACAAATGTTTAAGATTTATTTTTAAAATTTTCTGGCTTTACAAAGTATCAAGTCAAAATCTATTAAAGAAAGCTAAAATAAAAACAATAGAAGATGAAATTAAAAAACGAAGATGGAGCTGGCTCGGACACATCCTAAGAATGCCCAAAGAAAAAATTACATCTGTTGCGCTTACATGTGCCCCTGATGGTAAAAGAACAAGAGGAAGACCCAGACTTACCATCCAGCGCATGTTTTTGGGCGAATTAAAAGAATGTAGAATATCTGGCTGGGAGGAAGATCTATTGCTAGAGACAGGAGGCATTGGAGGGATATGCTAGATGCCGTAAGTGCCCAAAGGCACGTAGAGGATAAGTAAGTTATTCTATAAAAGATCAAGTAAATTAAGGTAATCTTCAAAGCACTGTCAGGGTTCATATTCAAAAAGAAATTTTTTCCCTGACTTCTCCAGGTAAATTTATGCAAAATTCCAGAATTTTTTTTAACAAAATTTTAAACATTTTGTATTTGATAATAAGGTAAATTAAAATCATAAACGAAATTGCAACTCTAAGAAAGCATCAATGAATTGTCAGAACTATAAACGTGACCGATAGGAAAAATAAAAATAAGGGAATGTACTAGGAAATATTTAAAAAAAAATTCATTAGAGTGAATTTATTGATCAAAAATATATAAATCTGTGTAGAATTGAAGTTAACTGGTACTACTTAATCAATGTAAAAACATTTTTTCAAGACAAAAGGGCAATAAACAATTAAAACCTAATACATTAGCATGGATCAAAAATTAATTATGGGAATGATAAGCAATAAGATTGCAAAATTTAATAGAGCTATACTGATTTAAAAAGAAAATAATTTTTAAATAAAACATTAACACCAATTATCAAACCATCCTAAGATGAAACTAATGAATATATAAACAATCCAAATTTAATTATAATTAATCTATATTTGTTAAACAAAGTTAAAAAGAATAAATAACTAAAAAATAATAAATCAACGATAAAAACATATTTATAATCCTTAGCCACAAAATAAATTTTACTAAAATAAAAGTTCAACTTTTCAATAACTAAGTTATCTTAAAATAATTTTAAAAAAACTAAATTAATAAAAATATTATACATATAATCTGTATTTAATTGAAATTAAATCATATTTAATTAACTCAGGAATGTTCTTAAAAATATTAGTGGAAAAAATTTAAAAAAAAACTATAAAAATGCAATGTTAAACTATTCCTTAAAAAAAAAATTATCATAAATAAGATAAATATATAGAAAAAATTAATTACCGCTTATAAAAAATATATTAAAAATAACTTATTTTGAAGATAAATAATAAAACTACACAAAAAGAAACTAACAAATATATAAGTTAATTGAAGCTAAACCAAATTATAATAAACTGAAGATTTATTAAAATCATTGAATTAACTAATATAAAACAAAATTAATGATTAAATATCGCAGTATATTTCTGACCTAGTTATAAGTAAAGACACCCGGTGGCTGAGTGGTAGCGCTTCGAGCTCTCTTGCCATGGGTCCTGGGTCTGACCCTCGGACCGAGCAAGGTATATTCGGTCTTACATCCCTTCAGTGAGTCGATAAAATTAGTACCAACCATGCTTGGGGACTAAACACAGGGAGTTCTGCATTTCGTTGACCACTCAACCGGAATATCTGCTCCTGCACCCCAGAGACCTTGATCAAGAAAACTGAGATGTTCACAGTAGGCCTTGGCCCTCTGTGGGCTGTTGCACCATAGAGTTTAGTTTAGTTATAAGTAAAAACAGAAAATCATAAAATACAAGAAAACTTGTTAATCAAATTAAATAAAAAACAACACTTAAGAATTACCAAACGGAAACGATAATTAAAAGAAGCGCTAACATACAAATTAAAATCCCAGGATATAATGAGATTAATTGAATTTTAAAAAATCATATGTTTAAATATAAATTATCCTCTACTTTTACTTATAAAAGCAGAGGACTTTTAACGAAAGCAGATGTGATTCCACATCGGGTAAAACTTGCTAATGATGTTGTACCACTGAGGACTCAGAATTCAATCAATTAAAAAATAGTGTTTCTTTAATAAAATTACAGATAAATAAACATAGACGACGATATATATAAAAAAATGTTTTGTTCTTAATAACTAATGTATGATCTAACTTTATGAAACAATGACTTGTCATATTAAATCAACGATAAGGAAAATTAAGAAACATAAAAGGATTTTTTTAAAAACGTAACAAGTCAGTACTCTCAGGGTAGAAGTTTCAAGTACCTAACTTGGATATCCAATTGACAGCACTCCAAAAACAATTAAGAATAATAGAATCTTGAGGATGCATTTATTGATGGTCGACCCGATAAATATCTGATTTTTTTTTTTTTTTAATCCTTTACTGTGTAAGAGCAAATTATGGTTGAAAATGTAAGATTGAAATCTCGCAATTTGACAAGGTGTCAAATTCCCTGACAATTCCTGGTACATACAATCCTTAACTTTCTTAAACCACAAGCTTTGCATAGTATACTTGTCTTTTTCTCTTTTTTTGATTTATGGCATAGAACACAAGATCTTTCAGACCCATGACTGATGTAATTTGTTACATTTCTCATTAGGATTGATGAGTTCGTTAAAGAAAGTCCTACTAATTGTTCTATAGTTAAGAGATGAAAATCTTGATGATTAATTTAAACTTTTCATTTTTTTAAATATAAACATGTTTAAACAGTTATATTCAACAAGTGAGATATCAGCACAAATGCAATAATATATGTTCAGTAGGAAATAAAAAATGGTAAGAAATTTTTTTAACTAAATAAAAGAGAAAAAAAATAAATAATATATTTATTTATTTTAAAATAGATATTACATTAAGTCAAGTCACACATTATTATATAAAGAAAAATGAGATCACAATATATTCTTCAAAATAACTGCATTGCACTAAAAGACATACATTTAAAATCATTTTAAAAGCAATTTAGAACAGTTAATTTGTTGCACATATGAGATTAAAAACAGAAAGTGACCTGAAGTTTGAGAAAAAATATGAATAAATATGAAATAAATATGAATGGTGAAACAAATAAAAAACTTAACACAATAAAACAATTATGAAATATAATAATATGAAATGAACAAAAAATAAAGCTCATTTCAAAAAATGTAATTACATTAGAAGAATACACTAGTCATACAACTATTTAAAAAAAAACGCAAAACTTATCACATACAGTTATGGTATATTCACCACTTAACCTAAATAAAATGAAAATAAAAATAACATTTTATATACTCTTGAAGTCAGAAAAGCTGATCTAGAAATAATTTATACCAAATTACTTAACAAAAGTGATGAGAGTATCCAAAAAAAAATTATAAAATGAATAAAGCAACATGAAATAATAAAAGATTGTCAAAGAGTTGTAACATCATATCTTTTAAATAATTAATACTAACAGCTGGCTGAAGCTTTTGAAGATAGAACCTTTTGAAATATTTTGAGTATAGGCAGCATCAAATTTGCCTAAGATATTTGATCTTAATCATCTATCACAGACTACCAGGCACTTTTGCATTATTTTTAATAATAATAATACATTTTACAAAAATACTATTATATATTTTCTTATTCATATGAAATCAAATGAAATTTCAAAATATCATGGAATATTTTTTTAATGAATACAATATATAATCAATTCCAATCAATCAAATAAACATAAAGTTTTCCCTTTTTGCAAAGATTTCCGATCAATGAACACTGTACCACTATTTTGCATGGATACTGGGCCTTCAATTTTATCTGGTACTCGTAAAATCTTGCATGCTTCAAGACAATCTAAGGCACTTTTGCACTGCGTCATTTGGGTAATAAGCATTTTTATATTGTTCATACTTTTCGCATGCTTAGTGCTTGATGGTCGACTGTAACTATGTTCTTGAAATTTTTGGCATAAGAAAGTCAACCATAGCACATTTGAGAACAACAAGCATTCATGCCATTTGTTTCTGTAAAAAAAGAAAAAAAATTCACAAACAGAAAATGAGTTAATCATTTTTTTTTAAATATAAAGGAAAAGCATTTTGCATGAAAAACAATAATTAAGAACAACAAACAATGTCTATTTCAAACAACTTCTATTTTTGTGGGTACTTATAGGAATTTAGTTTAGAATACTTTCTTTATCTATCAATGTTTAATTTTGCTACTATAAAATCATGACATTCTATGAACAACAATTGTAATTCTTGACTAAAAAATTTAATTTATTAGTTTATTTAGTTATTTAACTAACGAACTTGAATTTAGACTTTTTAAAACAAGATTTTTAAAAATGTTTACTGACAGTTTTTATTAATCGATACAGCATTATGAACAGAATATGCCCAGTCACATTATCTAATGCAGAAGCGCCACAACTGGAGATTTCTTTACCCATAAATTAGTTTGAAAGCTTTAAAAAAGAATAATAGCTGATGCTCAAAAATGCTCCCATCTTTTTTTAGAGGAGTGTACAATTTTATTTCATTTTCTAAAAGAGGGTGCAACTATGTTTAGGTTTAAGTATATTTTATTAAAAGGAACAACGCAAGTATAAATACTTCGTAAAACATTCGATTTACTCTGCCCCTGAGTAAAACTAGTATACAGATTAAGAATTAAGGTCAAAAGAAGATAATGACCTCTGCCCTGGATTGAGAACCCAAGAAAGACAATGACATAACTAAAACAAAAGCATAATTAAAAAAAATTCAAAACATATTAGTATAAGAATATTCAAAAATAAATATTAAAAAAATTGGAAAGTAAATTTCTCTCTTTGCAAAAAATTTAGTGGGTGGAAAGCAATTGTTGTTAAAACAAGCAATCTTGGTTTAGTAAATTTATTATTATAACAGCAATATAATCCAAGATTTTTGCTATTTATAATGTTAAATTATTTAGCACATTGAATCTTAAGCCAAATGAGAGCATTTCAAGTTCATGTTAAGTCTTGCTAAACGTGGATACTTATAGAACCCAATAATGCCTATTCTTATAATTTTCAGTGGCAGAAGGTGTTTGCACTCTTCCTTTCCGCAGAAGGAAAAAAAGTAGTACAGAAATCAAAAATTGCAACTTTTTTCACCCTGAATCATTCAATCAATAGCAGCAATGGATTGATAGAAAATCACCATGCTTGCTATCCACGATCTTGGAAGATCCGAGATTGATGTATAAAATGCATGAAATTTTACACCATTAGTTAACAATCAGTCACTTACTGCATTCATGCATGTTGTTCTGTTCAGAACCTATTTGGATTTAGAATAATTTTACATAAACTTTACAGGTTTTCACAGAAACAGATTTAGCAGATGTACACAAACTGTGATACTCTTGCTTTATACTAGCTCACAGGAAAAAAATATTTTTGCAGCATTTTCTGCTTCTTTCCTCATAGAAATTATTCATGTAAATGTTATTGAATGTATTTTATGTGAGAGGTAAAATTATATGCATAAATATTTCAGGTTTTTTTTATGGACTATTGACAAAATATACTGTTGCAGTGCTGCCAACTACTAAATTTTTTTAAAAAATATTGTTTAGTGTGGTCAGATAAAAATCAAAACTTTCAGAACTTTTGATAATTTTGCTAACATTTTCAAAGCCTCACCCCGAGAGAGCTGAAACAAAGTGGTGCTTAATATGAACTTTTGAGTCTATAAATAGTGGTGTGGAAAATAACCTAAAATCAAATTTAGAAAACCAAAAATAGTATATTAAAACAACTTAGTTAACAGTAGAAGAAATTTTCCTTAAAAGCATAGAAAGTTGGCAACCTTGCTGTTCTATTAAAAGGAGTTTTGATGACAAACTTTTTTGCAGCATTATAATAAACGAATACATTAGACACAAAGCTATTACTAAAATAAAAAGTTATTTTTATATGCACTCTGACTTTGTGCACACAATTAACAATTCAGCAGTAAAAAGATATGCAAATTTTGATTACTTTTTACTTGCCCATTTCTAAACGATTTTTCTGTACATTCACACTGCTTTTTAATTTCTTTTCAATTTTTATTTATTTATTTAATTGCCATTTCTACATAGTTTCTCAAATGTTAATGTCAACGACAACCAAATTTCGAATTCAAGTTACAGTCATGCTTGAAAAGAAAAAGCTTGTGGTAAAATCAATCACAAGAAGCTTAAACTAGTTCCGAGATTGATAAGTAAAAGGATCTGAGGGGAAAATGAGTAACTGATGTTAGGATGTCTCCTAAATATTTTTTGAAGTTGGTTTCCATTTTATTACCCACTAATTATACTGTTCTTTGACGAAGTGGGATGTCTTAGGGTAAAAATTATGTTTCCCCTGACTTTTAAGCAATTTGCGTCAAGGGACTATTTTTTTTAAAAAGAAATAAACACCAAAGATGAAATCAAGAAAGATAAAACTAAAAATAGTAATAATAAATAAGAACAAAAAAATAGTTCCACATACTCCAACTGAAGTTTGGTGGCTTTATAAACATTGAATTGTATGTCACCAGTTTGTTCAAATAGAGATTTATCATCAGCAAGGTCGTTATAATAGATTACACCTGAAATATTTCAATAAAATTAAAAATATTTGAATTAGTTCAAGTCATACAATTTAAATGTTCATCAAGATTGGCCCAGCCCAGAAAAACTCAGCAGGTTTTTGCAGATTGGGCCAACTTGAAGAAACTCATCTTTACACTCACTAATTGGATTTTTTCACATAATTCACATAAAATTTCTAAACAATTTTTTCTTTGCAATTGCCAAACCAAACTGCTTTTTGAAATTATTAACTTTATGTTTTATAAATTTATTTTGCAGTTTTTTTTATACAAAATGATATGAAGTATAACATAATTCAATTATTTGATTTTTGAAAACAAAATTTAATAAAAATAACGAAATATGTGAAAAAATTAAAGTACATGATTTAAAATCTTGCTAAATTGTAATATATTACTTATCTATAAAACAAATATAATGTGTAATATACATTCACTTAATACATATATATATATGTATATATATATTTGGATTGTAAACTCAAGGGGTGCAGAGTAAGTCTGTTCGCACGAACAAGGTTCAGGTGAAACTCTGACAGCCCTAAAGAAATTTTTGGTTTAATTAAATAAATAAAAATTAGTGCAAAATTTTCAAAGGTAAAAAAAATTATCTCTTTACAAATTACAATTGTAAAATATTAATATTTCAATATACTTTGATTTCGGTTATTTTAGCACAAAAACAAATTTATTCAAGAATTTATCAAAAATCAAATAAAGCCTTAGTTAAAGGGAAAATTTTTTAAAAATACAGACTTTACTTTCAAAAATATTTTTAAAAAGTTTATTGTAATTAAAATTAAAAAAAAAAAAAGAAACTGTGTTCTGGGGAAATATTAGGTCATGAGAATTTTTTTACATCCCTGTCTATATAATTCCACCTTCTATATGAAAATCTGATAAGAATTTGAAACGTAGAATGTGTCGAAGTATTCAACTAAAAAATATTCTATTTTACAAAAACACAATCTGACACTTCGTAGAAAAATCCAAACATAGGCAAATATTTTTATTTAAAGAAATGAAATCATTGCGGTGCAAAAAATAAATAAATAAAACAATATTATCATGCGAATCTTATGTTTAGTGCTGAGAAAGAAACATTAAAAAATTTACTTACCACTTTCTAAAATGCGTGAGAGTGTAAAATCTATAATATTCACCATCAGACCTCCACTTGCAATTGAAAATCGTTCACCTCTAAAAGTATATGAAACAGATTTACTTTTAGTTCGACTAACTAAAATATTTCCGAGATGTAAATCTCGGTGCTCAAATAAATTCACTTCTTCTGCAATGGCCAATGAAATAGCAAGTTGCTTGAATACAATTTCTGCTTCACATGCATTACGAAGCTGCAATATATAGAAAAATGTTTAAAGAAATTGAACAAAGTATAACAAAAAACTATGAAAAAAATCCAAAGCAAATATATTGAATGATATATTTAGAGACATCATAAACACATATTTTTTTTGTAATCAAGAAAAAGAAAATTCAGTACATTATTAACAGAACATTTATATCATCCGTGATCACAATCAAATTAAAGGAAAATCGATTCCTCAAATAGCTAAATTGAACCCAAATTTATGAGCAGAATAAACTATATAAACTCAATAAAAAATAATAATTTTTAAACAGTTTTAATTAACATTTTAAAAACTAAATTTATTAGAGACTTGATTTTCTAAGCATAGGCAAAACTAGGTAAGGGTCAGGCAAACCCTAGATATATTTGATTTCATTAATTTCAGGTTCAAATAATTTTTAGAAAAAAATATTTCTAGAAATGTTTTTTAACTAGGAACATTTAAATTTTTTTCTTCTTTTCTTGCCATGAGTGACCCTTTTATTATCGAAAAGTACACTTATAAGATTTTTTCCCTCACATTTTTATAGTCTCAGCTGGAAAGAAAAGCTAAAGGCTTGGTTTTTCAGGACAAATGAGTTAGCTCCATGTGTAAATATTTTGCCAGCCCCCAAGGTCAATGCCAAAAAAGTGGTATGTTAGGACCTCTCATTTGAGCTTGAGTGTTATCAGAAGTTCTGAAAATGACATAAGCACTATGAAGAAAGAGGAAAATATATCATTTTATTGCGTATGATAGAATCGGCTCTTTTCTTGTAAACATACAGATTTTTTAAACTCAACTATCAAAATATAAAACAAACACATAAATGAGTTCGTAAGCAAGTTATATATATTTAATGAATTCTTTTTAAATGAAAACTCAAAAGAAAAATATAGGTTTCTTTTCAAATTACAAAAAAGTAATTAAAAGAAAATAACTTTTTTTTTTTAAAAAAAAAAGAGTATTTATTTTATATTAAATATTATATTATATATTTCTAAGAGCAATGCTTTTGTTTATCTAAAAACAATACAAAAATTTACAATCACTAATATTTTTAAAAAAAGAAAAAGATTTTATATCACATAAATAATTAAATAAAAGTTATTTACTAATTTTTATAAAATAAAACTACAATTCATGAATAATTTTTCTTTTTTTGATTGAAAGTATTATTAGTTTATAAATTAAAAAGACAGTTTCAGTAAGTAAATAATAACTAAATATATGCAAATTTTTGTATTTAATGTTAAGTGACAATTTGATTAATTTTATTGAAAAAAATCTGATTATTTATATGTGGGAAAAGAATATTTCCAGGTAATATTGAGTCATAATATTTCATTATTTATTTACTATAAATATAAATTTTATACGTTATTTTAATTATACAATAAACAGGGTATCTGCTACATTTTTGATTTTCAAATTCATGACTTTTCATGACTAATTCGAAGAATTTTTCATGACTTAACGAAGTTACTACTTTCTCCGACAAAAACACAACAATAAAATTTTTAAAAGCATTATAATAACTTTCTCTGAAATGATAGGTATAACCAAAACTGTTATACTCTGCATCTTCATATTTATAGATTTTAAATTTAAAAAACTGAGTAAAGAAAGAGTTGAAGCAATAAAATAGCTGAAAAAAATACAAAAGCAACTAATTTTTCTTCTTTTTTTCTGCAGAATTACATTCTAAAGAAACTTTTTTTGTTCATCGGAAAGGAAAGAAATACTCCCATTTTTCTGTTCTCGTTTCGGAATAAAAAAATTCGCCAATGACTGGCTTGCTTCAGCTAAAATTTTAAATTGATAAAATAAAAAAAATAATAACAAAAATTCTGAAATCACAGTAGTTAAAAGACAATTCGTTCTAGAAATGATGTCTTTTCTTTCATTTTTTGAAAGAACACCATAATTTTTAAAGAACACAAAAATATTTTATATTTTAATCAAATATGACTGTGAGTGGGGATTTTGTTGCAATTTAGATACAGTGGAAAGTCGCGTATCCGGAATCGGCGGGACTTTCCGAAGTCCGGATAATCGATTTTTCCGTATAATAGACTCCCAAGGTAAACAGAGATTAAAATGATCTGAATCTAAGAAGCAGAAATTAAATAACATTATTTTTTGGGCAATAATGTTTTAGTATTAGAATGATATCTAATCAATCAAAAACAAAATATTTAAAAAATAATAATTATTGCTATTATAAAAATAAATATAGGAAACTAAAAAAATTGACAGTTATGAAAATATTAATTGCTCTCTCCACCATTTTGAACTAGAACGATTCAAGCAAGAAGGGGAAATTCCCGTCATTCAATAAGGTGGGTAGGTGAAGAAAATAAATTCATTTCCTCCTTACTTGTCATTCAAGTTGAGGGCGGGGTAGTGACAAATTCTTATTTTCTCTCCCATCATTGGCTATCAATCAAGCATAAAGGCGTGGCATGCTAATTGGGTTCTCTTTATTTTTTCTTGTGTGACTAAAGGGGATTCCCCCTCTAGTTTAACATTCAAAAAGGTTCCAGGAAATGCCTCTTTTACTAGCCAGCTGCATAGAAAGAAGGGGGAGGGAGGGGACTCAGTTATGCTCTTTTGAAAACAACCCCCCCCCCCGTTTCCTGCATTCCAGAGGAGGAGCGTCATGGTCTTAGTAGGTCTTCTGTTGATTTATGGGTTCAATGCATAGATCTCTAGAAGCTGAGAAGGGGAAAAACCTGTCAAAAGACTTCGTTTTTTTTTTTAAAGGAGAGGGAAAGATGAAGAAATGTTTGTTTATTTTGATTGTTAAAAAGTGTCCGGGAAATCGACCCTTCCGGAAAAGGGACGTCCGGATATGGGACGTTACACTGTATTCGGAACACCATGAAATTGGGGGAGGGGTGAATTCCATTTTAAAAAATAGTTAAAATCATGACATTTCATGACAAATTTTGTTCAATACCAAAATTCATGACTTTCCATTATTTTTCACGACTTTCCAGGTGCGCGGATACCCTGAATAAAAGTTTTAATTGAGAATATTTTAATCAAACAAATGTATAATATATTATTTTGAAAAAAAAGAAGAAATACTAAATTTATTCTTTAAACTAAAAATCATTGAAGACAGATAATTTAAAGTGTACCCATCTGTTGACCATTGTACGAATGACAAATACTATCATTAAAATTTTATTAACATCTAATAACAGCATATTTAGTTTAAAGGGCCCAATAATAGCACACATAAGCTTCAATGTGGAAATATACAAGTTTATTTTAAATAAAAATATTCTTTCTCATTAAATTAACAATACAAGATTTTTTAGTATACTTTGCCATTGTAATGCCCAGATCGACTGCACATCACATTCAAAGCGAAACAAATTCTGATGGAAGCTGCGGTTGAAGCTTGAAGTCTGATGACATATGCTGACCACTTAGCAAACAGGCCAATCGGGGGATGATGTTGACATTCAGCTATACGAATCTCTCTAAACAAACAACATCTTAAGGTAAGCAATTCAAATGTAAATTCTGAGAAACATCCCTTTTCTCTTTCTTCCTTCATCTTGATACTTCTTTTTTTTTTATCTTCTGATTCTCTACCTTCTAAAAGAACCTTCCAGTCCCAGGCTACCCTCATAGAGTTGTTTTTTCATGTTTACATCCCCTCAAAGACACTAGTTTAGAAATCTTTCTCTCCTAAAAAAAAACAAATTTCCGTTTTCTAGGGGAACAAAAAGGCATGCTAATTGTTTCGTCCAAGAAATCTTTGCAACGTACTGTCCCCGCTTTCTTCAATTGAAGTATTTTGTAAAGAGTGTGTGCTGCTCATTTATTTGAATTTTTGTTTTTCTCTTTTAATTTATACTCGATATGTGTTTATTTTTTTTAGTTTGAAACATTTTTTTCTTTATGGCTCCTAATTATAGGATAAGCAATGTTTAAAAATAATGATAAGTCATATTTTTGGCGCAAGTTGTTTTCTTCTTGTTTATGAATAGATCATGGTGCAAGTTGTACACATTTGATTTTAAAAATATATTTAACTGCTTTAAACATATATTTTCTCTTTTTTTACCTTTCTATAAATTGCATTTAGACTAATTTTAATAAAAATAAGAAAACAATGTTCAAAGTTTCCCAATTAGAGTAGAACCTTGATTGATCGTTTCTCATGGAAACATACAGTATGAATGGTAGATACAGGAAAATGACAAATTAAGGTCAACATAAATTGCCAACTAATGACTTGAAAATGTATGAAAAGTATTAAAGTAATTCACCCTAAAAATTAAAAAAATTACAAGAAAAAAAGAAATAAAAATTATGTTCTTACTGCAAATATATTATGATGCAAAAGCACCATGTATACGCACATTTATTTATATAAAATAATTAGAAATTCTCATTTATTCTTTTCTTTTCAATGCAAACAATAAATGTTCAAGAATTGAAACAAATTGCTGTTCAATTTTTATAAGTTCGTGAATACAGAAAGCTCCTCAGTGTTTCAAAGGATTCGAGACCTTCCACAGATTTTTGGAACTTTTTATGATTCTTTATTGCCATTGTCATTGATATCACTTTAGTTTCTGTAATCATTTCTTGAAGCGACCACAAGTTTCAATATTTTTATCAACTAATGCATAATTATCAAATGTGATGTTTCAAGCATTTTCACAAAGCAGTTACAAATCTTCATTTTCTTTTTCATCATTAGTATCAAGAGTTACTTTTTTCTTTTTCAAAATAAAATAACTTACAAATTTTTTTTTTAAATGTTCGCAAAATTTCTAAACCATAAATGCTGAAATCAGCTAGTTTCTAAAACTATGTAAACGGACTATAGTATAAGGATTTAAGGAATAATGATTTAGCCGAATAGATGAATATTCGGCCAAAAGCACCTCTTCATTCATCGCTCTTAATTTTTAAGTGAAAGATTTAACGCTAAAAATCTTAATTCAACTTTTTCACATTGTCGTAGTTTTAGAAAA